AGCTTTCAAGAATGTATTTTATAACAGCCCCTATCTATGGCACAATTATGCTTAGTTAGCTGTACTCAACAGTGATGATTTCATAACATGCCACAAACAGGTGCCCATTAAATTCCTTTATTGGAGACAGAAACATTGCATAATTACAGATTTGATGAGGGAAACTGCAAATAGTATAGACTGTTTCTACTGCCAGCAAAATACAGTTATTACAGGATTTATAGACATACAAATATAAAGTGTTTCTTTCATGCCAGATGGTCCATACATAACAATGCCATTAGGAGCTCTTAATTGTGCTTCTACAAAACCTTTAGAGAAGAATGAGGTAGAGTTTCCTTTAGTTTATCCAGTATTTTTTCACACATCTGTCTTTTACTGGTTTTATATGCTCAGATCCTTGTAAAGTATGCAGTTAACTTTAACATTTGAGAAAACAGAGACCCTTCAGAGGTGTTTACTTCTCCCTCTTTAAGTTGCTAATTTCCCACTGCTTACATGCTATGATCCCAGTAACTACTACTGTACCCTTCTAAATACTTTGAAGGTCCGGTAGACTGGGACATCTGTCTTTCCAAATTGACTGCTTTGACAGAAATTGTTTGCAAATAGCTTCAGATAAAACTCTTGCTTGTCTCCATCATGGCAAAGAACCTTTTACACCCTATCACTCTCTACTGTAGTGGCCAAGCTAAAGTCCAAGCCATCTCCCCAGGAGATGAAGGGAATAGATTCATTCTGTCAACATCCTCTACTATGGAATAGAGTTAATTATATATTTGTCTCCTACTTGCAGTTCTAGTCAACTACTGGGCCATTAGAAATAAGTATAAATCATGGGAACAGAATGGGCCACTGACCTGTAGAAAACAGTCTCTCACTATTAGATGATCTGGAGCATTACTTGTTTGTTCCCATCTAATATTTTATTGTTTCATGACAAATAAGTGTGTTGCAGCTTTCAGTTAATATACTAGGGCACAAATTATGAAAATGTAGGCACAGATGTAGGTATTTAAGCAACTGAATAAGAGCATTCTTAAATAGCAATAATAATTTACTATCCTGAAAGACATTTGGTATACCTGGGTAGTCTCCCTTTTGGACTGAATGAGACTGACCTCCTGTCTTGATGGGTAATTTTACCCTCATTCATTAGCATGCCTGTTCTGGAAACAGAAGACTTTGCTCTGGCATTTGCTGCAGGTATTTAGTACTTCATAAAAACCCAAGAGTGCACTAGGGTACAGTAGAGGAAAAAAACCCTGTTATTTCACCTGAAGAGGCCACAATTCCAGCGGTGACCAAATCACAATGAAGAGGGCATTTGGCATACAGGAAGAAGCTGATTACATAAAGAATGTTTGCTTTCTTCCCATAACCTACTAATAATAGCTCAGTAATACTATATCAGAATTCCAAAATGAAAGTGCAAAATTTAACAGATTCCATATTCCTATCTTGATCACTTTGATCATAAAATGAAAGAAAAACTGTTCCTGCAAGATAGTACCGCCTGAGATAACTTCTGAGTTCCTCCATCTCACACTTAAATGACTGTTCCAAGCATCACAGAATCAGACCCTATCAAGAGTTAGCATTATTAAGAGAACCAGCTCTTAGAAACTTTCCCAACTCTTGCTTAGAATAAAAGCACTACACTTACTTTATCTACTATTCCCTGCTTACCTCTTTGGTAAAAAACAAAACTGACCAGTACTGGAAAATCATTTAGAACACTGTAGTTAATAACTTCCACAAAGTTGTTGTCTTTTTTTTTTTTTTTTACCTTAACTTTCTCCAGCAGATATTTTAAAGACTTTAAAATTCTATATCAAGGTCTTAAAATCTCCTTAAGATCTTCCTATGAACATGAACTTTAAGATTTTTTTTTTTTTTTAAGATAAAAAATTCAGGACTGTGGTAAAAATGGTAAAAACCAGACACAATAAACTGAGTTTTAAGATAACCAAAGAGTATAAATTCATGTTCAGAGAGAGACATGAGGATCTACCCATGCTATTACTACTAGTAAATTTAAACACCTTTATTTTTAGTAAATTTGGGTGTGGTTTACCCTACTAGTGTGGTTAATAAGAATCTGAGCTACTAATTCTAAAATTTTATTCCAAATCTAAGGATTGACTATTCTAGTTCAGTATTGTTCTCTACCTGCTAAGCCCTAATGTACCTGAAGGTAATAGCTAAGTTAGCTTTGTTTACGGAGCTGGGGATATATTTACCAAGTGTGCTGCAGATGGCAGTCAGATTCTTGCATAGTCAGAGGAAATATCCTGGAATTCCCACTAATAATGATCATGTTTAAAGGAAGGCATGGACAGAAGGATTGCTACAACAGTATTTCTCACTAGTGCAATACCAATACTCTATTTTGCTATTATGACTAAATCTACAAATACTTATTAAGAAGTTACTTAGCTTAAATAATTTAGGACCTACAAATTATTTGTCCAAATCTTGAGGATAGTGACAAAATGCAGTAAAACACAACTCTGACACTTCTTAACTACTAAATACTGCAGTTCAGAAAAACAGTATTCAAGATTGATAGAGGTCTGTCTCAGTGCTGCATGACAAAGCATACCTCTAGAATAGTTGTAATCTAATGCCTCTACATCAAGAGGTACAATACTTCCTTTAAGCACATCACTTTAAAATAAGATAGCTCTGTATGAGAGGTGAAGGTGAATTCTCATTTCAAGATTTTTCTGTATGCTACTTTTTATTCTGAACTATGTATTTTACTTGTTTATAGGTTTATACAGAAAACCTTAAATATATTTCTTATTTGAATAACATTTTTCTTCTGCATAATCAAGATACTGCCACTCTAAAGCAATGCTTCAAATATTGGACGCTACACAGCATCTTTCCGTGCTGCTTAAAAAGCTTTCGGGAAAGATTTGATCTCCAGTAAAATAACTTTCATGTAAAAATCTGGATTGGAGTTAAAAGTGGTAAAAGTGGTAGTACTACTACTCTGCACTTACAAAGACGTTAGATAACTTGCCCAGGGTCACAAAGTCAGTGGCAGTCAGTCTGTTCAGGCATTACATGTGCAGGTGATAAAGTGCAATTCTGACCCCTGAACACCTGCAAGATGATCAAAATGCCTTTCTTTTTTTTAACTATCACTAATGCTGAAAGCAAAACACAAAGCAAAATTTGCTTTAATAGTCACTTTTAGATAGGAAATGAAGTGGCATCATCATAGGAGGCTGAGGAAAAGGGGCTGCAAGTCTGTGTGGAAGGCAAAGAAAGGCAGCCCACCTCAGGGCACACTCAGCCATCATTTACACCTGCCCACCTCTCAGTATACAAGCCTGCCACTAGAACATTAAAGTTTACCATCAGTAGGATGAACCCCATGCAGAGAGAGACAATGTGCCATATGTAGTCTGGCAGGCTGTGCTACCATCTCCTTATTCTATTTCATGGCAAGGCACTATCAACAGACAGAGGCCACTGAATTCAAAAGGGTTCCTCCTCTAAAGAGGCATCCATGACATCAGTTCCAGCTGTTTTTCAGTCTACCTCCTTGGAAGACCATGTATTAGACATTTCAAATAACTTGCACTCCAAATGAACCTTTCAAATATCACATTTAACCATATCACAGTTCCTCATGCCCAAGGGAAAATAAGTAGAAAGTAAGCATACAGGAGGGGATTAATGATATCTCTTTCAATTAGGTAAACCCTAAATAAGAGTTTATCTAGGAAAAGAAGGTCAACTGCTTTTTAGCTTGAGATAGTTGAACAGGTGTAAACAATGGCTGGGCACAGAGACCTCTCACTATCTTGCTTTTGTCTTATCAGACTTCCCTTCTATATCCCAGAAGAAATAATGTTTGCTTTACACTTCTATGGACTGATGAGATTATCTACCCTAAGCAGGAAGCTTTATTAGCATTCTCACCAGATCCTGTCACTGTAAGTTCTCAGTGAATTTGCCCTTATTGCAGTTAAGAATCTAGTTAAGTAATACCAGTTGCTGAAGCCATAAGTTTTGGTATCAGAACAGCTTGTATGAAATGCCAGTTTCATGAAAAGTTCTCTCATCTGAAGGACTTTTCCTACACATGAATCATGTTCACTCAACTGAAAATTAAAGACATGCTCAGTACTGAAAATAATCATTAAAAGAATGAAGGGGAGAAGAAAGACCACAAAAAAAATTGGAGTTTGTTATTATCATTTTAAAGTAGCAGTGTTTGTAAAACATAAGCATGTGAAAGGCTGAATCTCATTTGATCAACCCAATTAAACATTAAATAATTGCAGCCAATTATGCAAATATCACACAACAATATTAATTTGTTGATTTTTTTGAATAGTCTCAAATTCTCATAATGCTAGACTATCTTATGTCTTAAATGATCAATTAACAGAGCCATAACTAAGTGATGAAGAATGGATAATTGCCTAGTTATGATGTACCATACTTTTTCTATGTAAATCTGTGGCAATTAAACCAACAGGGCACATGGAGAAAAGATGTGCAGATGTTCTTTTACAAACTGTTATTAGCTTAGGGAATACCATAGTTCTCTCCTAAATTTTACAGGCAAAAATAGGGGAGTGTAATACCAAACACTCACTATTATTTACACATATTATTTCTTTCCTTTGGTTAACAGGATAAAAAAGCAGTGGTAGAATGCAGGGTAGGACAGCATGCAATACCAGAATTTCCTGTATTATACTGACCTGTCAGCTCCCTTATTTAGTTTTTAAAGTTTAAAATCTAGAACCTATTCACCTGGATACTATTTAACTAAGATGTTAAAGACAATGGTTAACGTACAAGTTAAGACACTACATGTTTGCTAGAAAAATCTAAGCATTTCTGTGGGTCATTTCAGTTTCAACTCACATCATTTTGAAGTGTCCATCAGCTTAAAATGTTCATTAAAAGGAAAGGTGTCTCTCGGGTCGATGCAGGAAACAGTGCAAACAACAACAAATGAAACCACCTAGTCTCCTTACATAAAATTACTTGAATCCAATTTATGAAGAGTTTTACATGATGTTTAGGTTTACACCACAGTAAAATAATTCTGGTCCTTATTCATTCTGATTGGTAAACAGATTACTGCTAGTATATCAATGCCTTCAAGGAGATTTTTGATATGTTACCTACCAACTCTATCAACATCCTGAACTGTTAAGGTATGATACAACTACTTTGCCATACATCTTAAGTTAGATATTTCCACTTCTCATTTGCTGCTAAATCTAAGAGGAACACAAGGGGATGTATTATATAGTTCAGTAAAAGCAAGCCACCTGGGGTTGCTCATTCTATAATCTTTAGAGAGCTTCATGCCACACTCTAGTTAAAGGCACTCTTTAGTTATGACTTGTCTCTCATTGGATAAAACTCTCTACCTCACACTGCATCTTGACATATTCCCCATGTTAATTTTTCCACCCATTTAATTAAAGATACCAGCAGTTTATAACAGATAGTAAGGTACTGAACAAAGACCAGCACACAATACAGTTTCAAATGGTCAGAAAAGCCAACACACAATACTATTGCTACTATAAGTGAAATAATATTTTGTGCTTGCAGTTGTATCCTAAAGAGAAAACTATACAAGTTTTAACAATGGTTACATTGTCAGAGAGAACCTTCAACTGTTCTTCATTAAAATATTAGATTGAACTGCAGTGAAAGGTAGTAAAAGGCATGATTTGAGGGAGCAAAAGAAAGTCATGGCTAAGTAGGACTTGTTTTTAAAATCTGACCAAAAATGAACAGAAAAGCCATAAGGCTACATTTTAGCAGTTGTGTAAGGCATGGATGGTCTATTAGAAATAATAGTATGTCTTTTTAAACTGTGTTAATAAATGTCAGTAACTGCAGAGGACTTATAAAGCATGAGAGAGATACTGTTGGGTCTTAAAAAAAATAAAGTGCTAGATATTTCCCTTAATCCAGGTGCATCTCTACTGCAAACTAGGGCAATAAATGTTTCACTTTTACCTCTTACCATTAGTGTCAATAAAGTTCCACCAGTTTTACACTGAAGTAGCACTTTGGAACATTGATACAGAACATGGTGATTCTTTTTGGCAAGAGATATCTTAAAGCTGTTCAACAAAGCTGTGTGCAAAAAGAGAAAACTAATAAATATTACGGTATGACTGTTAGTGAATATTTGCAGAAGTAATTTCCCCAGCTACATGCTCGATATTGCTTCCAAATAGTATCAAGACTGTATGTGAGAAAGTAGTGCTACATGAAGTAGTATATACTTCATCAGAATGAAACCAGGGTTTAAATAAAATCTTTTTCCTTCTTATGCTAAATATTTTCTGTTGATAACATAGCTTGCTCCTTAATAGGAAGGCTCTATTAAAGTACACCTGTGTCAATGGAAGCTAGATGCATTTCACAGTGATTGGTAAAGGGGACAAGAAAAACATTTTGCTGATCTAAATTACGTAACTGGATGATGAAAGAAATTCCTCAAGCCAAAGGTTTGGTTGCTGTGAAGGAGTTCTTCGACTTTCACAGCCACACTTCTCTAATCTTATTTTCTAGACACTCATTTGGAGTGTCTGTGGTGCCCAGCTCTGTGCTAGGCCAGACATAGTCACTCTTGTCTCTGCAGGGCCTGACCCAGCCATTCAAAGAAGGATGTATTCAACCACTGAAGAGGTACGCACTGCCCAAGCAGCCACTGCATATCCCCATGGAGGGAAAGGCAGTAGGTCAACAGGGAGCATATTGCAAGCATGATCAACTCAGAGAATTTGGGCCTGGAGGACAGAGCTGTCATTTGACAAAGTATGCATGAAGGGATCAAGAGGTCTATGTGAACTCATGAACTCCACACAAGTAGAGTACAAAAGGAAAGAACATATGGCTAAACTTATTTCCCAAATACAGAGCAAAAGGCAGAATAATGTCAGTGCCCAGCTAACAGGCATCTTTGTGTTATATGGCAAGGTGCTCTGCTGATGATGGCAATCAAAACAAACCAAACTGAAGAGCAGTTGAAGAGCATTTTACAAGTTTTCAGACTGTATATAAGACACAAGGAGGCTCTAAGAAAAACATTAGGAAAGTTCTATTGCTAACATTTAGCACCTCTACCAAGACAGGTGTTTACCAACAGGATTACAGTAGAAATCAAAATGATTGCGTTCACATTCGCTGGATTGTGGAAACAATCCTCCTGGGAGCAAACTGATACAGGAACTATGCTATGCACAGACAGCTACAGAAGTTATCATTATTCATGTCTGCTCTGTCTGGAGGGTCTGAACTCTTCCACCTTCATGACACCAACACTGCCCAGTCGCTGTCTTCTCTTCCATACTGAAACAAAGAAAAATGGAGTTTAAGAATAGAAGTTAAAAGTAGATGTGTATAATTGATAACTTCTTCTCTTTATCCTCAGAAAGTGTAATATTCACCACCCATGGTAGTTTGCATTATTTCTTATGCCTTTACTTCTGTCTTAGAGTTGAGCAAAACCTAAAGGTACCTTGAAGCTTTATCCATCTTCCAATAAAGACTAGGAAGGAGCGATACTGATACTCACTAGAGATGGTACAGAATAGTTCTGCTTCACTAAAGCTTTCCATCAATTTAATACAGTTACTGTGAGGTCAGTTCATTAATCCATTCATAAGTACGTCCCCACCCAAGCTCTAATAAATTAACACATTTGGGTTTATTTCATTTTATTTTTAAGGTGGCTTTTTATTACAGCTTTCTGATTGAATGTGAAATAAAACCCGTCACAAATACCACAGAGTACAATTAGAGAAAATTCTAACACAAATAAAACAAGTAGTCTTTCTATATGCAGACCAGCAGGATCACCAGGCAGAAGCAAAGGCAACCTAACACATGGAGCTGTATCCCTTTCAGGGGATGATACAGTCTCAAGGCAGCGCTTTCATTTGTTAAACTGGCTCCGTGTTCTAAAGCTCCTTGTCACCAGGCCTGTAGACAATGCTCCAGAGTGCCCCAAATATGTACATAGGGCTCAAGTATATAAATAAAGTAGAAGTGGACAGACTAGCAGTAAATGAAAGTTGGGAGCCCTTTCCCTCATAGCACCATGTTCAGGGAGTTTGAAAACACTGTTTAGATGCTTAGATGCTTTATGTAGGCTGAAAAGATCAGTTGATGGTTATTTCTCCAGAGAGGATAAAAGGAAGCTACTCCAATCCAGGTCCTGCATTGGCAGGAAAGGAGATAAAAGGACATTAAAGCACGGAAAAGACAGTAGCTCCAAATCAGAATAAGCCATGAAAATACACTTCTAGATCCACAAGAAAAATTATGTTTAGTGTGCTTGTGTTTTACTCTTTACTCCAGCAGGTAAAGCCTCTAAATGACTTTCATATGTCACATCTGCTTTTTCTTTTTTATTACTAGTACTGCTGCTCCTGTCCTGTAATTTGCAAGGTGTTTGACTAAACACTGGTATGTTGCTACATAGGACCTTGGACAAATTACTTGTTCTAAGGATTCCCAGCATTCCCAGATGCCAGTGTGGTTGCCTTGGGACTTCTACCCACAGAAAAGCAGATGTATCATTAGCATTAGTTTAACCACAAAGAACTGGATTACCCTCATGTGAGAGTTCTGTTGAAGATGGAGGCAAAGGGAAAGAAAATAAAAATAACAATCACTGCTTTTCAGAGAAAAGGTGGCATCCCCATTTCCCCAAATAAGAAAGCAGGCAAAGACAGGGAATTATTTGTAAGTTTTGCTGGCTTTAGGTAACATTGTCATCCCATGCTTTGATGTTGACTAGAAATTGCAAGGGCCAGTCTGAGTTGCCATTTGAACCTGCTTCCAGAATTAAAAGGAGAATGAAGATGTCATACCACAATCAAGTGTTTTCATTCCAGAAATAAGAGCTGGTTTAGCTTCCTTTTCTGATTTTGTCGAAGAATTTGTGACCTCAGGCTAATCAGTCCCATCCCTCACTTCCCTCCCCACAGGTCCTGCTTTGTAAAAATTAAGACATACTTTCTCCTTCCCTGGTTGTTTTCTCCCAGCCTACCCAGACTGTAAAACTTTGAGAAAGATAAGGGTTTTGTCTAAATATCTGTTCACTGCTGTCTTGACTGCAATGTTAAAATGTGTTTCATACCATGTAGTATAAACAATATATCTTGCCTTCCATTCATCCCTTCCAAGTTGCATCCTGATCTACACTTTAAAGGGTATAGCAAAATCTTGTTTATTCTCAAAGCATGGTATCCCAGTGGTATTTCAGTGAGTGTATTCCCAGAGAAATGAATCTTATCTCTAAATCTGCTAACTCAAGCAGTTACAGAAGACAGTGTACTATGACTAATTCATTAACTCATTCATAAGCACACCATTACTGTATACAACGTAAATTATTTAATCTAAAGTTGTTATCAGCCTTTCGTACAGATGATTTCCACTCAGTGATAGGAAGGGAAATGTATATCCCAGTACTACTACTGTCTCTCTCAATTGGCATGAGAAATGGAATCAGTTCTGCCCATGATTTTCTAATTTGTCACTCTAGCTCTGGTTCCACTGAACAACTGTTCCAATCCAAAGAAATCCTGTTGAACACATAAGACTCCGAAAAGAACAATGAGCAGCATGAAAACAGGCTTGGAAACACAATAATGAAGATAAACTGAAAATGTTAACAAACCATGTATTGTACTTAAGCGAATCACTACAGTGACACCGGATATGGAGCCCTGCACCTCTTGGTCACAGGTTCAACTGCAGGATAATGTGCGTAGTGAGAATTTTTACTTTTTTACAGCTGTTCATTGTTCAATGTGAAATAGGTACACCGCCCTAGTTGAGGCAACAGCACAGCACAGAGACCAAAGCCGTGTTTGGCTGTAATTTCCGTTGCATCTTATTCTTCAAAACTTGAAGATTCTCTAGAATAGGAGGCTAAGACTGTCCAAATGACAACACTCCAATGATACTGCAAAGAGATAAGAGATTTTATTCCACCAACCCCGCCCAGTAGAATATATAAAATATCTTTGTGAAAAATCCTGAAAACTCCCCTGACATTTTAAGAACATTACATATTCTATTTTTTTGTGTTGCAGCATTGTTTTCTGTTCGGCAACCTGGGGTCCATTTGGATATAAGCTCATCTTTCCACAGATAGAAAAGTGCGGAAACATAATCAGCAACCACTACTTGACTTTGAAAGCGGAAGCAACCATCATCCTCCTTAAAATCATGTTTTTAACCAAGAAAAGTTCTAACTCTAAAGGCTCTTTTAAAGAAGGAAGAAAACCTAGAAGTACATATGTACATAATAGTCCAGCACTTTCCAGGAGTGATGGATTTACTCTTGGTATGTAACTACTGAACACACTGTATATACATAGTTGAAAGTCAAAAAGGTCCATATTGTTGTAAGGTGAAAAGTTGTAAAGTGAAAAGGTCCAAGACAGTGGTTAGAAGTAATTCACACTTTTGCAGCTTCCACCTGAGCCTTGGTTGGGGATGAAAAAGTAGGGTGATCAGGCAGGGCATGGAAAGAAGCCTCAGGAAGCAGGCTGGATAAATTTTTCTTAATAATACATTCACTATCTTTTGGCCAAGGGAGAAATACACATACTCCAGTGTTGTCTTCTGAAATAGAATTCTGGATTTCACAAGCCATTCTTCCAAAGAAGGCAATTGATTGTCTCATGACACAAACTGCTAAGGCATTACCTATTCCTACATATAACACACAACAAGGTGCTAAAACTGGCCTCAACTCTTTCTGATGCCAGGCTGTTCTATGACTGCAATTAGAAGGGATCAGTGGAGACTCAAACTGATAGTGAATTATTGAAGACCCTAACACATATTGCAAAAGCATTGTCCTGACAGCAGAAGGTAACACAAGAGTTACACAAGTGCTTTTAGCCACTGGAGATAGATATTTGACATACTAACAAGATGGCTTTAATGCAGAGTATAGATCTATGGAAACAGTGGTCAGTGTGTATCACAATGAAAAGCGTGTAGTAAATTTGGACATATGACAACAACAAAAAAAGTGATGAACACCAGTTATTGTTTTAGATAGGTGCATCAGGCACTTGGGATGAGAAAGATGAACTAAAACTGTGGTATGTGGTGGGATTCTGGAGAAGACTACTGTGTATACTCATACAGTAAGATGATAAAAATGTTTCACGTAACTGAGCTGGGAACATGGCATACTAAGCCCCTCCTTCCCCTCAACTAATAATAAAATCTAGAACCAAAGGTGCCTTTGCTTCTTCCTAGTTCTCAGTCCTACTGTTTGAAGAGAAGGACCTGCTATGGTTCGCACCAGCTGAAACAACAGAATTATTATGGGAGAGTGTCTCTTTTTGCCCCAATGAAAGCTGTCTCAGCTACTAACAGAAAATACCAGACTATTAGGAATTCTTTCCTCCCCAGGCTGCACTCAGAAATGTCCAATACCATTCTAAAGAACAAGAGATAATGTCATCTTCCTAGTAAAGAACAGTCAGCTGGTCCTGCTGCATCATTTGAACTACAAGCCTCAGGGGGAGAAAGGGGGTGGTAGTGGTGGGAGAAGTAGCTATTCTGGAGACCAGCAGCTGTGACAGGTAAAAATATGTAGAGAATGAAGAGTACAGAGGAACAGTGAAATATCAGATGGCCTGACTTCTCCTTGTCTAAGACTGCTTCACCCTACTTTAATTAAGCAATGAGAAAAACTCAGTGAGTAGCAATGGATTTAAACTTGGACTACAATATAGCATAAAATATTGAAAAATAATGTTGCATAAGTGAATGTGCTTATCATGGTATTGTGGATGAGTCAACGTATGACATCAGACTGCAATTCACGAGTAGTTTTTGTCTGGGGTCTCATCAGAAGTACCCTGTGTCAAATTATTTCTACACACTAGTAAAGGGCCTGTAAAATAGGAATTTAAAAAAAAAATAAATCAACTTCAGGATTCTTTCTTTAAAAGGTCTGATTATTTGGTGGGATTCAGAATTGCTGTGTAGTGCAGTACATCTCACAATCTTTAAGAATATTCTTAGTTCAGGGCTTACTGGCAAGAAGATGAAAATTTTAGCAGCAAATCTAAGACCATCTTGAGCCAAAAGCTAAGAATGTAGAACAGTAACCATCAGACTTGATTTGAAAAAATCATAATAATGACAAGCAGCTGCTATCAGATCTTAAAGAAAGGAGACTAACTTGCCAAGACCTACTCTTATCCCCAAATCCCCCACATCCTAAACTATGCTAAATAAAGAAAAGAAAGCAGGCAACTAAACCAAGAAGGGCCACAAAGTGCTGTTCATTGACTTCACCTGAAAGGGTATTGACTCCTATGCCCGGACATGGAGGTCAAGCACATATTCCAAATAGACTTTGATATTTAGCAAATCACAGAGGAAGGAACTATTTTAAGAACAAGTGACCATGCAATTGGAAAGATGCTGAGAAACAGAAGTTGGCTGTGCCCAGTGAGTGCTTACTACTTTACCCATCTCTTTAGTAATCAGCCTATATTCATTTGTGATCGTGATTATTAAGATGCTTCATAATGCTATTTTTCCCTTAAAAAGAAACCTAGAACACAGTACTGGATTTCAGTGACAAGAATGATATCTTACAACTCTCATCCAGCTTCCAAGATGAATAGGAGAGTAATACATTACTCTCCATCTGTATCATATTTTCTCAAGGGAAAAAATGTAAAATCAATAGAATAACCACACCAAACTAAAGAGCCTACATTATTACATAATGGTGCCTACAGCAGCAGTATTAAAAAGGCTATTTTCCAATGTTTTCAAATGTCCACCTTTTATTATTTTATCTGGTTAAAGAAGAGGAAGCAGTTTACCTGGATATCACTCAGCTTATTCAGGAAACGGGTTGTTAACTGAGGTCCGTTCTCCATAGTTGGAATGTGCAAGTGCTGACACAGAATAAAGAAGGGAGGGGAGGAAGAGAGAGAATAATATGTAAAAATAGCTTTATATATATGAATACCTTAGGGTCACCAAGAATTTAAATAAATGTCAATAATTTGAATAAATATTTATCAAGTTTTCCAGCCTTCCTTACAAGTAGGCAAGGGTTGTTGTAATGTTTTTTTATAGGAGGGCATGCTGACCCAGTGATAACACAGATTAGTTGAATTGTGCTGTTTTTAAATAAAGGCTAATCTAAGCTTTCCAGTAGATCTGTCCAAAATGGGGGGGGTATGTTGTACAGGCAAGAGTAGCAACTCCATACACAGTATTTAATTTCAAAGTATATTGTGTAGAAACACAACAGGTACATTTATAGTACTTATGACTAAGCACCTTGATATCTCTCATATCTTAGCACCTGATAATATCAATACATTTATTCTGCCTTATTAATTCAAGAAGTATCATCTAACAGATATGTACTGTACTTCTCATGTTTAATGAACAAAGCACATCCATACATGCAGTTGCAATAATCCAGCCTTCTGAACTAACTTTGTGCTGGCTAAATAGCATCAAGTCAGCTTAACAGTCTGAATGCCTGTAAAATTCCACCTGTGCAGGAGAAATCTCCCATAAAAGAAGCTGTGTACTCTACTGAACCTCCAGCTCTTCCATTAGAGCTGGGTTCCCTGCAATGAGGGGTGAAGAAGAGATGAAGTTGAGAAGGAAAGAATGCAGTGGTTCAGAAATTTGGTTCCTTGTGAAAGTCACCTCTCCTCATCCTTCCCAGGTGCCTTAGCTTTGAAAATTAAATGTTCAATAAAAGAAACAGATGAGAGTGTATTTTTCTGTATTTTCAAACAGGCTTGGAGATGGGAACTTCTCCTCACCCACAAAAAAAAAAAATTAAAAAAATTTAACTCTTAAAAATACCCTAGAAGAGGGAAAGTTCTCTTCTGATAATATAGCAGTAACTCATTTGGGAAACAAAATACTGACACTGTTCATCTTTCCAGGAGCCTCTGGCAGCATTCCTTTTCTATCTGTTTTTTAATTAAGCTGCAGTTAATTATGATAAAATTCTGAAGAAGGAGAGGAGAGGCAGGAGCTGGGAGGGAAGAGAAGAGGAAAGGAAAAGGAAAAAAAAGGGGGAGTAAAACACATTTTCTTACCTTGCCTTTATATAAAATTTTAGAGATAGGACATACAATACAGGCTGTTCCAGCACCAAACATCTCCTTTACTCTGTCCTCTTCCAAGGCAGCTGTCAAGTCACTCATAGTGATGTATCGTTCAGACACTTTGAATTCTCCCTGCATGAGAAGAATCAACCATAAAAATTGTAAAACTTTACAAATGGCTTATACTTTTGTTTTCCATGTTGAAACATCTCTAATAGGACTATTAGCCTCATGGCATTCAGTCAAGTTTTGGCTATGATCCTGTGATCTTTTCAAACCTTCCAGTAGCACATAAGATAGATTCTAATCAAAACAATCACCTCTGAGGAAGCCAGTACTTTGCCAGATATAATGCTGATGAGTAAGTGGCACTCCCCTCTGATTTGGTACAGAATATCAATATTGCATTAAGGCATAACACAGCAGAATTTGTCATGGTTTATGTGACACAGGATCTGACTACTTACAGTCTCAAGCATGCTAGAGTTCATACAAAAATTACTCAATTATGTCAAAAGAGCTTTGATCCCACTCTCAGACAATTCCTAAGCAAAATACATTCTGTTAATTCCACCTCCAATGCCAACTACATGTGATAGATTTCTTTAATCCCTGGTAAAATTTCACACTGTAGCCTGCACACAGCTGTCACATAAAAAATTACTGTACTACAGGTATGAGTAAAGCAATTCACAGTGGACAGTCTTAACATAAATTGTGTTTTACCTTCCACAAGTGTTAAAGAATGCATAGCAACTGATTGAGGGGTTGTGTTTAAAGAACCGAAATAAACATCAAACTTTGAAATTTTCATTTCATGGATTTATGTGGACTTTATTGTTGCATTAGACCAAATTAAAGCTTAGCCATTGTTTCATATCCAAGTTCTTTAACATGAAACAGATGCTTTTGATTAAAAAAATTATTAGCTCTAGACAGGATAGTATTTGGAAAGAAGAGCAGGGACACCACATAAGCAGAGTTTCAGATAGGTTAGGGAATGGAGGTGAGGAAGAAGAGAATAACCTTTGTGAAGCAGAAGACACATAATTATTCAAGAGGACTAAGATGAGAGTCTGGTATCTCACAAATAAGCCCTATCAACTGGGAATATCTTATAAAGGAGATGAGACTGAGAAGCGTGCATGTGTATCTGTACTCAGGGTGTTCCAATATGAATAAAGATGTGTAAGAGTTCAGTGCAGGTTAACAAGTGGCACATACGTGCTACAAAGTACATGCCTAGCTCTCTTCACTGCAAGTTAGATGTGATACATCAACTGTACTTCAGGAAGTCTTTCAGCTACAGGTGGCTGGAAGCTGAGTTAGTATCAGGGGAAAAGGGCCAAAACCAAGAGACAGGATACTAGGCTTGGTAGGCCTTTGGCTCTATAGTATTCTTACTCAGGCCACAATAAAACCTCTGAATACAGTAGAGGCAGGGTGGACAGACAGTTTGCTGCATTTCAAGGTACGAGGTAGTCCCAAGTGTCCAAGTAAGTTCTTGAATGGTTTCATGACAGAACTGGAATTTGGAAGCAGATGACTTCAAAACTGTGGCTGGATTTTAGGCTGCATGCTAGTTATTAGAAATAAGGGTGAAACCATGAGAACTAACTGGAGAAAGAGTGTGCTGATGACTGAAGTATGGCTGCAGTCATGCATGGTAATTGTTTCCTTGATTTAAGTTTCTTGACCAGAGGATTTGATGAGAATTTTCATGTTAAATACTACACGGGGATACTTTAACAAGCTTGGTATTGTTCTGTGTGACAGATGTGGGTATTCTAATGATGTTGCCGGAAATCTGAATTAGCATGCTCTTAGTTCCCACGCAGGTTGAGGGATTCAATATTCACAGGGGCTTACAAGAAAGATAGAGACAAATTTTATCAGGGCCTGTTGCAATAGGACAAGGGGTAACGGTTTTAAACTAAAAGAGAGTAGATTCAGACTAGATAGTTATTTTTTTTTTTACAATGAGACAACAGAACAGGTTGCCCAGAGAGGTGGAAGATGCCCCATCCCTCCCTGGAAAACCATTCATGGTCAAGTTGGATGGCACTTTGAGCAACCTGATCTAGTTGAAAACTCCACTGTAGCTGGGATTGGTCCAGATGACCTCTAAGGTCCCTTCCAACCCAAAAATATTCTATGATTTGACCAGATCAGTTGAACATCAAAATATTGAGCACCAGGAATGCTTACTTGCATCAATGTTGCAACACGATAGTTGAAACTATCGCTGCCAGGGTCAAAACACTCACCCAATTGTGTGCCAGATCCAAAATACTTTGTCTTGTCACTCCTGGAAGGATGATGCCATCTAAAGGTGGGGTTGCCAGTTCATTTTCTGTCAAACACAAATGAAATGGAAATACTGGTTGAAAACCAAAGAAACAGAAAAATTTACTCATATTACACCATTAATTAATGAACTTATGAATAAGGGGTTCAGTATCCCTACTTTGTAGCATTAATACGAAACATCTACCAGAAATTTTGAGGCCCATTTACTGAACAAGCAAAACAGTGGAAACCTTGCCAAAAGTATCATGAGAGGAGGCTTCCTTAATGATCTATTGTCTTGGTCTAGACTTCCTTTTTTCCAGTAGTTTTCTCTTTACACAAAAAGAGCAGTCCTAATAAAATTCCAAGTGCCAATAATTCAAATTGTTCAGCTATTGTGGTCTGTTACCTTGTTCTTGTTTGTTTTTGAAAAAAGGTTGTTAGATAAATATTCATCTTACTAGAGAAATGGTAAATGGTAATCCATACATGGTAAGTACTTAAATTACAACAGAGATGTTTGTATGTAGTGTTTGTTCTTCCATCTGACCTTTGCAGCAAATCAAAGCTAAACTTTTTCATTTTAAGCCATTACATAGCACACATTCAGTGTTTCTATTATCAGAGAATACTGAGCATTTACTCTTTCAGATAGCCAGGTTCTTTTAAGACAGTCTCAATTCTTCACTGAGAAATCATGACATCCACAGTCTTTCAGAATTACTCTTCATATTTTTTTCCTAACCATTGTCTCTTCCCAATGAGAATCCATTACCTTTCTTCATCTTATAAGGATACTACCCTGTCCATTAAATCCACAAACCATTAAGGTTTTTGATTCTTTTATACTAGGCCACATAAAAGAAGATACATATTTTCATGTTTTTATTACATCACCCCTTATGACCTGCAAAAGGTCACTGAATCCAGGCCTGTTTGAATCAATCTCAAAGGCAAAATGGTGTTAAAAAATGTTCCTATAGGTCCTGTGAAAACTTGCAGCTGGGTACAAGACAGAATCATGGTATTCACCCTTGGGCTGAGATAGCAGGTTGAGCTCAGCTGCTTAATACTCTGTTGACAGCTAGATAGTCCTGCACACAAACACAGTCTGCCAGCCAGTGCATACACAGCTCCAGACTGACTACAGCATTACTCTGCAAGAGGGGGCTTTAGGAGTTGGGGTGGAGTAGCGGAAATGGAGGATAAATAAATCGAATTGTTCATTGAATCTGCTACTCACTGTCCATTCTCTCAGGAAATGTCTGTTATTAATGCAGCCACCCCTGGAATTATTCATTTGGACTTGAAGTTTTTCCTACCTATGCCTCATGTTCCTTTTATGAGGATGCCAAAATGTACACAAAAAAGGCTGCCCTAGAACACTCTACATGTTTTGCTTTGGTTTGACTAACCAATAGCGTGATTCCCTGACCTATCCCAGACTCCTAACCACAGCAGTGGTCTCTTCTTTCTCATACAGTCAGGAAAAATAAGCTTTCTTTCTTTGGAGTCTGTCTAGCATCACTCCTAACATGATGTGTGTCTGGTCCTAATTCTGGCACAACTATCATAAAAAAGAGGATTTAAAAACTTTCCATGAGCCACAGGGCTCACATGAATCTGAACACTGAAGACCTGATACTCTGCACTTGTGACCCAGTCACATACAAATGCATCCCTTTCTTAAACAGAAAAATCCAAATAATTCGTACCTTAATATCAGATTTTGACTACACACCAGCTAATGTTCTCTATTGTGTGATATTGCCACAGATCTTGGCCAGAACCTGCTTGAGCTCAATAACATATATTAATTGATTTGAGCTAGTTTGAAAAGGTGCCAGGCCAAACCAGCCACCAAACAGCACTTGAGTAGACAGGATGTTGGGCGTCTCAAAATGTTTCAAACAGCCTGATCTGTAGAATTTTGTCAACTATACATACTATGCCTACCAGCCTGAGGCCACCCAAAGAACATCTGCTCCCCTGGTATCCAGCAGAGATGATAATGCTATACAACACAGCATGCCAAAAACACTCATCCTCTGTGAATCGATGCCAAACCAGTCTCCGTATGACATCAGTTTGTCCATCGCAAAAAAAACCAAAACCAACCCAGACTGAGCTCACAGACTCCATTTGCCTTCTGAATTATTTTCATGTGCTAGAAGCCTTAAAATGTACAGTACCAAAAAGTGGGGGAAAGGCATCTGAAGGTAAATGTCAGGGTTTCTCTTCAGTTGACTGCTGTTATTGTTACAGTAGTAGCACTGTAAGTCCAGTGTCCCATTAAACCAGGCATGGTATATGCATGCTGTGACAATGGTACTCCATCAGTGTTTACAGGGTTTTTAAAATGAGGTCTTGCATATTACACAGCTTCAATTTTTACATACCTGTATTTATGAACATATAGCAGATAAGATTCCAAGTATGGGATGCCTTCAGTACTGTTCACACTAAAATAATGCTGAGAAATACACCAAAATACATTCTAACAGGAGGGAACTTCAGGGTCAAGGAGAACCCAGGAAACCTTGGCTTCAGTATTATTAACAGGTGACTTTCTCTTCCAGTTTGTTCTGTTTCTATTCCTTTCTCCTTATTCCCCTCAGGCTTTTCTTCTACTCTCCCCTCATGCAATCACCCTTTGTGTCTCTGTCAATTTACTTTATGCAATCATTTTCCTCTCCTTTTCTTTGCCTGTCATCTCATTCATTTGATGCTCTACCCTCCTTGCTATTGCTGTGGCTTTCTATTAGACCAGAAGGTACAATCCTTATTTTGCTAGTAGTCTTCTTGTAAAAGATAATTGTGCAGCACAAATAATCCTCCACATGCAGACCACTAATCAAGCTTGCCTGATATTTTACCTGCCTGTTCTACAAAAAAAAAAAAATTTTTTCAATTTATGTGAGCTATTTTGTAGTGGGCAATATTAATCCCAATTTTAATAACAGCACAAAAATATTAAGCAATGCCTGAATGCTATTCACAATTCCTTAACATTAAAGCTAGAAGTAGAACCCAGGTGGTTCCAAATCATTCTGAAGAAAGCGAATTTTTGGAAAGTACACAGAGATTTCATAGTTAGCAACCTTCAAGTTGGACACATGTTTAAATTTTAAGGTTTTCCATAAAGTCAAGCCTATATTCTAAGCAAAAGAACAGGCATTATTAAAGGAAATCAGTTTCAATGTCAACAGCTGATGTGCTCTGAAGAGATAGGTGGAAGGGACTGCAGGGTGACCAAACTTTTCACTTTGCGAACATAAACCATAAACAGGGTTTGATGACCAAAATATCACACTCCTAAATTTATGCCAGAGCAGCAGTGGTGATACAAAAGCAGCAGAGACTATGTCATATTATTTTACCAGAAATTGAGAAGTTTCTTCCCCTACTCCCTCCTTGATGTTACAAACAAAACACTTTCCCAAGCTCCTCCTGATGCCCAAGATGACATGTCACGTTTAATCACAGTGCTGTAACTCAAAATACATAGCAAAGGCTTGCAAGAAAAGCCTACTCTCATTGGAAGCACAGATGTCCTTTAGTCTAGGCTTTGGTCTTTGATTTGTTATAAACCAAGGAGTTCAGTTCAGACTATTCTGCAGTGACCTCTGAAAACACAAAGAAGGACATTTTCCTTTTGATGATGATCTGTAATTTCTGCCTCACTATTTTTATGTTAGAACCCTCTCTCAGCTGCAGAATTTGCATAACAAAACAAAACCACATTTTAAGTAAGTATCTTTTGTGAAGTGACAGAACATAATGGCAAACACAAATCACAATGTAATGCCATAGGTGTGAGATGACACACTTTGGCAGCTTTTCTTAATCAAAGATATCATAAATTAAGCATTAATCAACACACCAGGGGCCAGCAAAGTGCTCCAATGATGGAGCACTGAAGAAAGCGAATTTTTGGAAAGTCCCACATCGTGTGGAATGGCAGGTTTGCCAGTATACAGTTAGCTTGGGTGGCATGAATTACAAGTTGTTTGCTATGGCCACCTCACAATAGTACTATTCAGTAGTGCTCTGGTCACGTAGTGATTGGCAGATCTTTGGAACAGTACTGTGCTGCAGCTGGATAATTCCAGCATATTCCTGGTTTAAGTACAATGAGAACATTGAATTCTAATTATGTCCCCTCTTCAGTGTCCTTTCCCTGAGCAGAATGAGCCAAAATCTATTTTTGCGTCTTTCCAGAGAAGTTACACAAGGCATGAATTTGCCCATCTAACTATGCTGACAAATCTACTGCTGCTGTAATAACAACAAGATTTCTCATATTTACAGTTTCATTCACAAGACATCACAGACTCATTCAACACTGAATGAGTGTCATTCCTCTTACAAAAGTGGTAATGATTTTGCAGAAAAACAAGTAATGTAACTGGAAATGAAAGTCAGGTAGCTGGATTCCCATTACCCTACACTATCTAAAGCATACTGCTGTCCCCAAAGAACGTTGCCTCTGTACTGCAGCTGAGCACTGCCAGAAAGACGTCAGTGTTCAAAGGTACCCATGGCACTAGGATGAAGTCGGAGTCCAAACCCTACATGTGCTGCCATGCAAAATTCAGTAACACTTAATTTGCACAGAAGACCGGCATTCATGGAAGTCAGATGTCCTTTTATTCACTTGCCTATACAGTGGTTCAACCCTTTAAGGACCAAGAGTTATGTAATCCTCTGAATCAGTTCTCAGGCGCAGCTAATGCTTCTCAAGCTCTGAGTACTTGCATGCCTAATGTCTATTTTTGAGATGACTAGTTGGCTTTTATTAACTAGATAGCTTTCTAATCAGCATATACATTGCTCAGAAATGACTGTGGGTACAAATTGGTAAAAATGGCTTCAAGAATGATGGTATATCTTGAAAACATCTTTTCAGCATGTGGGATGTGGAATGCTGACTGACATGTTTCTCCCTCTCTGCCTCCACTGGACAGAACTTCAACATTCTTCAAAGAAAGAGATGAGTTCTTCATCAGTTGGATGGCAAAATACTTTTGGCTATCCTTTAGGAATATTTGACTTGTCAGAAAGTGATAATGGGAACCACTCATGCCCAGAGTCACAGAGTTTAGAGTTATACAGCCATAAAGTATCTTTAGTGTGTCCCCATATTTTTCTGACCCAACACCTCCTTCAAGATAAAGCATGCTGCTAGAGTTGACACCAAGCCTCCAGTGGGACCTGGCTACACTCTACCCTTATAAGCATGCGGACTGGCCCAACAGTTTAGGATGTTAGTACATAGTACTCACAGCTGCTCCAGAATCTCCTCTTTCACAATAGTATAACTTAGTTATCTACTAGTTTTCAGAAAAGGATAGACATTTCCTTAATAAATCATCTTTATTTATGATCTGCACTTTTATATAGCTTATTTTGTGTACTAAATTCCCAACTGTTCTACTTAGAATTTTCATGGTTTGTGTTACTATTACCTCCATCTTCATTTATCCAGTAGAGAAACAGATTCATTGTTCCAACTTCAGTTATTTGATGATCTTCTCCATAGAGCCACAAAACCTGCTGGCAGCCAAATTCCAGGGCTTCTTGCTGGGCATAAATAGAAGAACCGTAATTCCTTCCAGAAACAAAAAGAAAGAGCAAACAGTTATAAGTATCTGGTTGGGTATTTTCTCATTTCTGTGCAAGGTTTTATGCACATTTACCTTACGAGCTAGTGCTGTGCACAGTCACTGCTTGTCCCTGGAATATTTTAATTGGAAGTATTCTACTAATATTTTCCTAGACTATTTGTATCTACAACCCCAAAACTTCCCATCCAGTTCATGTGGGGTTTTGTTTTTTTCTTGTTTTTTTTTTGTTTGGTTTTTCGTTTGTTTGTTTTGTTTTGTTTTTTTGTGTTTTCTTTTTTAAAAAAAAAAAAAAAAAAACAACACAAAAACCAAAACCATCTTCCTTATCTCACATATGTCAAATGAACCTCTTGAAATACAAAAATCACCAGAGGCAAGTTATTTCTTTTCTAGCAAAAGACATTCACAGAACTAGTAGCTTCATGAGCTGCAGACAGGCCTCAAATTCCATATCCTCAAGAAGCAACTGTTTTCTCAAAATGCTGCCTACAGTGAACCTGACTACTGAGCTACTCCATAGCTGCTTTGACGGAGGGAAAAAACTCTTTACAGTTTCTGATGTTACCATCAAGACCCAAAGTTAGCAGCCCAAAGTGCTGACCACACTGGAGTTACATTTTCACCTTTGGGCACAAATCAAGTCAGTAGTGATTCCAGACTATTTTTTTTTTTTTCACAGCTGAAATATGAAGGATGCACAGGAACCAATTAATGTATTTGTAAAACCAAACAAAACCTATAGTTCTCAGAACATCAGACTGAATGAAGGAAAGCTGTTGAGTAGCATTTGACAGCTACTAACTTCCTGCCTAGAAAAGAAACTCCCAGGTAGAGGCAGTAAGCTTTGTTTAAACCAAAGACCAAGGACATATAATAATTTATTTAGCCACTTCCAAGTTGCTTGCTCCAGTCCAGTCCTAAGCAGCTTCAACTCTACAAGTCAAGTACTTGGACGTTAACAACGATGTGTCTACCTAACTTGTGCTTTGGCCTAGTTCAGCAGAAAACTGCCAGATGATGGGCAAGTCAAGGTAGATAATTGTCTCATGTTTTTCTTTAAACACCTGTACTCCCCTAGTTAACTGCAGATGGCTTGTTGGGACAGCCTGTCAAAGGAGGAGGTCAGCAGTCAATGCCACTCACTGCCCAGTTGGCAGAAGGCTGCTACACTGAATGCTGCATCACAGGAGTCATATCTTTACTGTCAACTTCTGCAGGGGGAATAGCCAAAGTATTATATGGACACCTTCCAGGTCTAATGTCTCAGCCTGAGATGCTGCAAAATTGCCTCTGCAAGTAATCCACTTGACTGTAATATGCAAATAAAAATATGCAACTGAATTGTATACATAATATTTGTGAAGTACAATTTTGAAATCTGTGTTAAAGTAAATTGTTTGTTTCACTGCTACATTTAATACCTCTATTTCTGCTGGATTAGATACTTCACTAAAAACCAAATCTCTGTAAGCTATGTAGAAGATGTAGAATTATGTTTTCTTACGCTCCTAGTTTGCAGTCCCCAGTTCCTCCTTTCCAGGCTCTTACATACTTTGGATCTGCCCATAAGGATATGGGATTAAAGCTTCCACTTGCAAAGTAAGGGCCCACAGGGCTCAGTATGACATACAGTAGGGCTTTAGTTGGCTTCTTCACTCCAAGGGAAGGCTGAAAAAAGGGAATGTAAAAAAATTAAAACTAACTAACATCAGATACTACACAATTAGCTTTTGAACACTGCTTTCAGATGAACTGCTGCAAGAGAGTGCTTTTACCAGGACAATGCAAAGACAATGCAATGAAGAGAAAGTATTTATACAACTTCCCCCCTAACCAGAGCAATGTACTACCCTAATTTTATATACTGTCACCATTCATTTACAGCTGCTTCATTTATCTATATATTATTCTAATCTTCACAAGTATTTGTGAAGCCAACCATATCGTGGGCTGCATCAAAAGAAGCGTGACCAGCAGGTTGAAGGAGGTGATCCTGCCCCTTTACTCTGCTCTCGTGAGGCCTCACTTGAAGTACTGTGTACAGTTCTGGTGTCCTCAACATAAGAAGGACATGGAACTGTCAGAATAAGTTCAGAGGAGGGCCACAAGGATGATCAGGGGACTGGAGCACCTCCTGTATGAAGACAGGCTGAGAAAGTTGGGGCTGTTCAGCCTGGAGAAGAGAAGGCTGCATGGAGATCTCATAGCAGCTTTCCAGTATCTGAAGGGGGCTATAAGGATGATGTGGAGGGACTCTTTACTAGGGACTGTAGTGGTAAGACAAGGTAATGGGTTAAAACTTAAACAGGGGAAGTTTAGATTGGATGTAAGGAAGAAGTTCTTTTCTGTAAGGGTGGTGAGGCACTGGAATGGATTGCCCAGGGAAGCTGTGAATGCTCGAATGCTTGAATGTGAATTGTGAATGCTTGAACACCTGGCGGTGGTCAAGACCAGGCTGGACAGAGCCTTGGGTGACATGGTTTAGTGTGAGGTGTCCCTGCCCATGGCAGGGGGATTGGAACTAGATGACCTTATGGTCCTTCCTTTCCAAGCATAACTATTCTATGATTTTCAAGCTTTCAAGAATTCAGAAATTAGCTTAACAGGATTCTATATAATTATATTAATTAATCACAACACAAGCTTGCAAAGCCTTCTAGGGGGAGGAGTGTCAAGGACCACTGCTGGAGGAACTGCTGCCAGCTGCATTAGTGATGACAATTAGCCAAGGTCACTTAGAACTGGTTTGGTAGAGCTGGGTGCTGGCTCTGTGAATGACTGTGTGACAAGCTAAAATGCCCACTGGAAATGGTTCACACAACAGCACAGGAAATAACCTGGAATGTATCACCTTTTACCCCCACCCCCCTCCTCTCAGACAGATGGCTTCTCATACTTTAAATTATCACCATCAATACTTGAAGGTGGAGATAAAAAGTCTGGCAGTGGTCAGAATCTGAATCCTGTCATAGGAGACTTTGCTTAACTACATGATTCTTTCAAAGCTCAGGACTGACTACAGAATTACAGAAAGCCTGAGGTTGGAAGGCAGCTCTGGAGATCTTCAGATCTTTGTCAAATCCCCCTCCTCAAAAGCAGGGCTATGTCCAGCTGGTTGTCCATGATTCTTGGGATCTTCTATGCAACTGAATGTGTCACTATTTTTTCTCCACTCAGTCTTGTAAAAAGAACAAGCTTGTACTTGGTTTCTAAGATTAGGTCTCCATTGAAAAAAAAAGTTATTGAACTTAAATCTTTAGGACCAAAGATTTAAGTAAAATACTGTGCACAAAGTATGTTAAGATAATGTGGGAGGTGGGAGGGAAACATAATAGTGGAATAATGGAACAACTGAAAAACTCAAATAAGCTTTCTTCAGGTACTTAGAGTGTTATTTTGATTTCTGTATACCTTACTCCTTCAGCAAAACTTCTAACAAGATTAACTGAGATCTTAATATTTTTACTTGATCATTCAAGAGATTCTGCTGACTGGCTTTCCTAATTGTGCTAATTCATAGAATCACAGAATAAATTCATTGAAGACTGGCAGTACATGGAACCTAGAAACAACATATGGCATAGCAGAAAAGCCGGATATGTTGATTAACCTGAATAAAAGTTCAACAGCAAGACAATTAAAGAAGGAAAAAAACAATATTAATTTTTAAAATTAATACTTTACAGTCACTGGGTGGAGATTCTTCTATTTGAAAATCTGCAAGTAGCTCACAAGCATTAAAATTAATGGGGTCCTAGAACATATGTGGAATGTATAATCATAGAATAGTTAGAGTTGGAAAGGACCTTAAGATCATCTAGTTCCAACCCCCATGGCATGGGCAGAGACACCTCCCACTAAACTATGTCACCCAAGGCTCTGTCCAAACTGCCAGGGATGGAGCATTCACAACTTCCCTGGGCAACCTATCCCAGTGCCTCACCACCCTCACAGGAAAGAACTTCTTCCTTATATCCAATCTAAATTTCCCCTGTTTAAGTTTTAACCTGTTACCCCATGTCCTATCACTACAGTCCCTAATGAAGAGTCCCTCCACAGCATCCTTATAGCCCCCCCTTCAGATACTGGAAGGCTGCTATGAGGTCTCCACACAGCCTTCTCTTCTCCAGGCTCAACAGCCCCAACTTTCTCAGCCTGTCTTCATACAGGAGGTGCTCCAGTCCCCTGATCATCCTGGTGGCCCTTCTCTGGACTTGTTCCAACAGTTCCATGTCCTTTTTATGTTGAGGACATCAGAACTGCACACAATACTCCAAGTGAGGTCTCACAAGAGCAGAGTAGAGGGGCAGGATCACCTCCTTCGACCTGCTGGTCACACACCTCGTGATGCAGCCAGGGATATGGTTGGCTTTCTGGGCTGCAAGTGCACACTGCCAGCTCATGTTAAGTTTTGCTTTGACCAACAGCCCCAAATCCTTCTCCGCAGGGCTGCTCTGAATCTCTTCTCTGCCCAACCTGTAGCCGTGCCTGGGATTGCCCCGACCCAGGTGTAGGACCTTGCACTTGGCATGGTTAAACTTCATGAGACTGGCATCAGCCCACCTCACAAGCATGTTGAGGTCCCTCTGGATGGCATTCCTTCCCTCCAGCGTATTAACCGAACCACACAGCTTGGTGTCATCAGCAAACTTGCTGAGGGCGCACTCAATCCCACTGTCCATGTCAGCGACGAAGATGTTGAACAAGACTGGTCCCAACACCGATCCCTGAGGGACACCACTCGTTACTGGTCTCCAACTGGACATTAAGCCATTGACCACAACTCTTTGCATGAGGCCATCCAGCCAGTTTTTTATACACTGAGTGAGTGGTCCACCTATCAAATTGATATCTCTCCAATATAGAGACAAGGATGTCATGTGGGACAGTGTCAAACGCTTTACACAAGTTCAGGTAGATGACATCAACTGCTCTACCCCATCCATCAGTTCCGTAGCCCCATCACAGAAGGCCACCAAATTTTCAGGCAGGATTTCCTCTTAGTGAAGCCATGTATGGTGCCTACTTACAGATGTGGATTCTGCAGAAGAGTAACTGGCCTAGTTGGGAAACCATACATTCTTTAGCTTATGCTCTACCATTATAGCCTTCTCTCTTACCACTGCGAAAAAACACTAATCTTAAAGTTTTAATTAAAATGAACTCCCTATTTCTAATTTCCTTCATAAATACTACAGGCTTGACTCACACTCATGTGAAACTCAGTAATACCTAGTTTCTAAGGAGTCTCTTGTAAGGTTGGGTTTATCTGGGTTCAAGAATAAACTGACAGAAGAGCTTGTTTTTTGTTCTGTTAAGAGTGTCTCTCAGAAAGGCCATCTTAATTTACTGTGTAGAATCTTCCAAAATCTTCTCACTGAAGTCAGGATGGAGATACAAATTGAAATCACAAAATTACACAACAAATTTCTGTTCCTTCACAATTTCTTTAGATTATTAGTATTTTAAATGCATACATTACTGTGTGACAAATAACTATCCTTTTAGTACAAACCCAAAGTTAATCTAGATTTTGCTGTTGCCACTCAGATAGTTTACTGTCTGAGACCTAAATCAATGTGTCCACTAGGTGGTGGTGTGGTCAACATAAATTTGTGAAGTAGAGCTGCAGGTGAGTAACCTGGAAGTAAAAACATAAAACCGATTTGCCGCTGAACTGCAATACTGTTGTCTACTGACTGCTGTATATTTCCCTTTATGGATGGAGGCTTTTCCTTTGTGCTTAAGTACCCAAAAGTTATGAGGAGAAAGAAAAATGGTTTTTACCTCAGTTCCAATTAAGGTAGGACGGATGTAAAGGCTGGCAGTGGTTGAGTATGGGACCCACTCCTTTTCCACTTCCACAAGCTTCCGGATGCACTCTAGAAGCTCATTCTGGTCAAAATGCTGGGAAGGAAAAGCAAAGGGTGAAAAGCAAACAGAGAAATACAGCCTAAACACTCTGTGGTCTTTATAGATCTGTATGCTAAGGGGAACACTTCATCAGGATAAGTAACAGTGACAGCCCATAGAGGTTCATAGGACTACACTATCTTCCTTGATTTCATTTCTCACAGAATTCAGAAGTCCCATGGTTTTTGCTACTGTGACTTTTTATCCGGTATCCTGGATGTCCTCGTCTGCAACAAAGTATCCTTCTGAGATAGCAAAAAGGAGCCACTGACCCTTCTTGCCTCCAAACCATATGGGAAGAACAGCCTGCGCAGCCCTCACTGTCACTTGGCACACTGCAAGCTATGGCACCACCTCTTCTGCAGAAAGAGTGATTTGTGTTGTAACACTGAGGGACCCACCAAGTCTCCCAGTTTCATGAAATTGCAATTTTTTTACAGTAATAAAGCTAATAAGCATGGGAGGAGATTCACTGGTCAATATCCAGTTGTTAAAAGCCACATTAAGTTGCTAGCATGACCGAAAATTAAGGCACTCAGAGGCTGAAGGACTTAACTGAAGTAGAAAGAAGAAAAGGAAGAACATTACTGCCAGAAAAATTTAATCAGCTCTCCGCATGCAAATATCTGCAGAACAGCTCATATCCCTCAGAACTAGACTGTGTACATTTGAAGCAGTAGAGAGACAATGAAGAAAGCAAAATACTGTGGTGATTTAAAGGAAAAACGTATTTCGAACAGTTCACTGAATAAGGTCTCTTAAAGTTTATCTGAACTATTCAAGAGTTAGAGTGTTTGATAAATGTTACAATACTGTAAAGTTTCAGAGATTTGCATTTTGAAAATGAAAATATGCTCTGACTTAAGGAGAACATGACATCTTAACTACATACTGGCAGAGTTGCTCGTCTTGCTGATCGTGCCATCCTCTCCATGTTGAGGGTTGGCCGGAACAGGCGGATTTTGCCATCCACTCCTCGGTAAGCTTTCATTCCTTCAAACAACTACCAAACCAAAAAGGAGGAAAAAGAAAGCAAATAATAATTGAGACATTTTATCCCCTGATGATTTGTGCTAAAGCAACAAACATGCTTTGGAAATCAAAGAACTACACAGTACTCAAGGCATAAGTGCCAACTAGTTAATGGTTGCAACACACTCCTTTGAGGTAGTTTTATGACATTTATATTGCAAAGGTGACCTGCCTATGCTTCAGATAAATCTTTATCTGTCAGAGAACTTAACAACAACCATTTTTTTCACAACTTGGTTGCAGCAATTAAAATCTGTAGCATGTGTTTGAATTAACTATTCACTCACATCCTGACTGATACATAAGGCTGAGCTAAATCAGTATTATCCCCTAAGGAAAAGATCTATAGAATTTAATTATATATGTTAAACGTTTTTAGGGCTCTGTCAAAAAATTCATTTCAGTAGGAAGCATGGAATAAGGTAATTAAGGGAACTCTGTTGCAGTTCTTGTTGTAGTTGCAGCAAAATCTTGGTCACTTAGTTCTCCCATACAACCCTACGCTGTGGAAAGGGGTTTAGCTAGCATGAGAGACAGAGGCACTAGAGGGAGAATGCATGAAAATGTTTTACCTATACTTAACAGGAAACTTAAATTAGCCATAGCTATCCCATCAAACTGCACAATCCAGATGACTGGTGTTGACAATCAATTTACCAAAAATATTATTCCATCAGTGCCCTACCAGCAGAATGTTCTACAGCATCTCCTAATCATGGCAAACAATATACCCACAAAATATCCATAGTTTTCAGTTACAGATTGGTAATTTCTAGTTATAGCCAGCAAACAATAATTTTGTATATATAATTATATAAAATTAAATAAAAAAAAACCTATTTATTATGTAAGTTCACATCAATATAAATATATACAGGTATTTAGATTAAGTATTAAAGGACCACTCATGTAAATAGACAAGAATTTTAGAATTCATTTTTTAAAGCACATTAAATTTCAGCATAAGTTCTATGAATTTAACTGCATCACTTCTTTCAGTCTCCTCAGACTTCTCCTCCTGACTGCTCCACACAAAATGTCTGGAAGTACATTCTTTGCACTTGAAGTCTACATATGCAGGGGTTTTATTTGGAAAAAAAGAATCTTGTATTTGTGTGTAAGTAATTTTAGTAGAATACTCAAGGTTTCATTATTATTAAATTCTGTAACATTTCCCCAGAAGGATCAGTGAAGTGTAATGTCTAGAAAAGTTTTGTGAGGTCCCATGATAGAGCTAGTCCTTCCACATGACAAATTTTAACTGGTTTGTAACTGGGGTGCAGGAATCCCAACAATATTCCTTTGGCTACATGCTAACTATGTAGCAGAACTAAAATTAGAACCCAGAACATTTTGCCTTCAAAATTTATATTATTCCTATGGCAATGCCAACCTTATTAAAAGGTTTGTGTGCAGTTTGGAAAAAGAAACAGTTCCTGGGACAGATGTTGTAGCTATAAGAAAAGAAACGTTTTTAATAAAGGGTGGCATAGCTGGTTGTATGGTGATACTTTGATATGATTTTTATTGGGCCAGTTACTAGCTAATACCACATTGCTGTAATGCTTCTATCTTATCACAGAACAGTTGTTTCCCCCCACCCTCCTCCCCAACACACTCACAGAATTTTTAATGAGAGGGAAGAGAAAGGAATGTTGCTACTAAGATCTGATCAATGGTTTGAGAGAAGAATCACATCATTACTGAAACACAAAGCCTTCTCAAGCTGTTAAATCTTTTTCTCCAAAGAGAAATACTTAACTTTCCAGAGCTCAGTAAAACCTTACACTCATTCAAAAGGGAGACAGTGATGTGTTCCAGAAATGCTCACATGAATAAAAGCAACTGCTGTGGTTGCTTGACGGTTGGTTGCTGCGGTGGTGTGCAAACAATATTATCTGACATCTGTACATCACAGGAGCTGGATCTGGAGTTCAGCAGATCCAGACTACCACAGTGCATCATGGAGGGCAAGGAGAAAGGGGAGGGAATGCCAAATTCATCATGTTTATTATACCCACTGTGTATTCATTGAGCCACAGCATTGGCACCAGATTCTCCTCTGTCTGTCCTCTTGGCTAGAGGAATCGTGATGCAATAAGGGTAAAAGAATAAAAATATGGGGGGGAAAAAAAGAAAAAAAAAAAAAGAAGAGCATATTCATATTAGCAATGACTTCAAACTAGGCCAGAGGCTGAGCATTAAAGCAATATGCTACTAAGAGTGAAATATAGATCCAGGACTCCAGCGTGGTTTCTTACTTCTTGGGCAGATCAAGAGCTGCAGCGTTAGTCACAGGGGCCTGCTGTAATTTACAGAGGGCCTTTGGAGGCCCAGTGACTAGATGGGGAAAAAACAGCAACAACAAAAAATGGTGAAGGCAGGAGCTCAGGGACAACAAGCAAGGAAAAGCTGAAAAGCTTGATCCTTCCTTTATCCTAGTGGTTAAAAAAAAAAAAAGAGAGAGAAGAAATGGACAAAGAAATAATAAAAAAAGCACAAGCAACTCCACTAACTTCAGTGGAGACACTCCCACCTACCTAGAAGTGGGAGGAGAAACAGATTTCCATTTCACCATATGTGCCCTGCTGAGGCTTTCACACAAATGTGAGTACAGCTGAAGCTGCTCTGGAAACACAAAAGGCAGCTTTAGCCAGTAAGCAGCTAAGCACGGAAACTGTTAACCACGCTGGTTTCCAACTTAACATTTCACTTTCCAAAATTCCTTGCTCTATGTTTTCTGCTTAAATGCACTTGTATATGCTGAATACATCAGATCTAGTTTGGAGCTCTTCAGACTTGCTTGGAGTTGCAAACAAACATCTATCTAGCCTGTCCTGCAATCCAAGATATGAACCTTTACAACAGCTTAAAATAGCTCTCACAAAGTGCATGTTCAGTCCCCAAATTAAAGTTACTCTTGGAATTTCAGAGTTTTATCCAGTGCTTCATTAAGTTACAGCAACTGGACAGTAACTGTCAGTGAACTAGAACACTTTTTCAAATGAATTTGTCATCATGTAAGCATTATAGAATAACAGAATGGTTTGGGTCGGAAAAGACCTTAAGGTCATCTAGTTCCAACCCCACGGCAGGGATGCCTCCCACCAGACCATGTTGCCCAAGGCTCTGTCCAGCATGGCCTTGAACACTGCCAGGGATGGAGCATTTATCATTTTGGGGGGCAACCTGTTCCAGTGCCTCACTACCCTTACATCAGAGAGCTTCTTCCTTATATCTAACCTGAAATTCCCCTGTTTAAGTTTAACCCCATTACCCCTTGTCCTATCACTACAGTCCCTGATGAAGAAAGGGTCTCCTTCACTAGCCTAGAAATTTAAGTGAACTGGAATCCACAGGTCAGAGTTCCTTCTGAGTTATACTAACATAAATATAATCTTGTTGTAAATAATGGAATTATTCTGGAAGGACATCAGCTATCAAAACAAAATGTAACTCAATACTAATGAACTTCAGACAGTAATAGTCCATGTATTACAAAGGTATGGGTTCAAGAGCTAATGAAACAAAATAGCAGTTTCCAAATAATTCAGTACTCACTTCTACAGCATAATGCAGAGATGAGGAAGCTGGATGCAATGAAAGGTTCTCAAGTGGCTTAATATAAGGTTTCTCCCATCCTGAAGCCAAGGACCATTCAATTATCAGCATATTATCAGTGAACACGGTTCCAAACACCAAACCATTGGGGTCTGGTTTTTCCTTCAAAGTCGTAGCTGGGGTGATAACCAAGTCTGAAGCCTGAAGGAACATGAAGACAAAAATGAAGTGTATAAAAATGATCAACTCAGACTGACTTAAAAGTTATTCTCCATCAGTGAACATGGACAAATGTGATATTTTATCTGTGAGGATGTTTAATAACAGAATGCTTAAAGGCAGCTAACCTCTAAGTAGCTGGCAAAGTCCTCATACTGTGTATGCACACATATACACAGTGCTGCTTATACCAGAAGTACTTGGCATATTTTGAAGAACTGTTAAGTGGAGGAAGCAGTACAAAGTGTAAAACCAGAAAATCAGCAGATGAAAATTTCTTGGGCACTCAGATTAACGTATGCATACAAATTCCAGAAACACTCAACTGCTGTATCTCAGAACATAAACTGACCATAAGAAATTAATCCCTCTCACAGCTAAGTAGATACATTATGATGATTTGCCTTCAATCCATAAAACCAACGTGAGAGATCAGAGCCTGCAGTCAGCAGATTACTTGGGTCACACCAGCTTGTTCATTCATATCCATATTTTCCTAGAAAGGTTCCGTTAGCAAAGAAGGTTAAATGTTTCCTTGCATGATAAACTGTAGAGACTTTATTTTACAAGCTGGATTAGCTCCAGAAATGCAAAATAGGGATTTTTGTACTGGTTTTGGCTGGGAGAGAGTTAATTTTCTTTATGGTAGCTCATATGGTGTGAATCATCCTAAAGAACGCAGGGGAAGGAAAGCAGGATCACTGGCAGGTCACTCTCTTTTATACACAGATAGGGACTAAACAACTAGAAAGGGCTATGAAGGGGGCAGTCTCGATCCACACTCTCCATTCTCTTTCTGTACCATCTGAGCATTTAAACTGCTGGTCAGAAGCAAAAAAGAATTCAACAAAGAATTGTATTCAAAGGGCCATTTCCCTTCCTAACATGACTCAGAAAGCACTGACCCTTATTACAAACCCCCCTACCCAAGTAAGATCTTACTTCTTTATGCTGGGTACATATAAAGTAGACTGGAACGCAGGTAGTTCAGACTATTGTTCAAATCAGTTGTACGGGCACTAAAAAGGCATGTTTTGCAAGAGGTACCACTGATGTCTCAGACTCATTTTGCAAAATAAGAAGAAAATAGTCTCAAGCTTTTGAAAAAGAACACATGCACTCCTGTCTCTGTAAACAACCTGATTTTCAAGATGCCTTTAATGTACAATGGCCTGGTTTTATGGGTCAGTTGATTTTTGTTTGGGTTTTTGTTGGTTGGGTTTGTTTGGGGTTTTTTTGCTTAATGGCTTAGATGTGAAATTAACTGAGAGCTGGAACACATGAACAGATAAAAGCTTGTTTTAAACAATCCAGTTATAGGGCTTGACTAAATATTAAAGTGCATTAGCCTGACTGAACTAATACCTAATCTGATGAAACAACAATTACTCTTCTTAAATCTTTAGAGTAACCTTTATCTTGCTGACAATGAATGCTCCAATGGGAAAAGCACTACTCAATGATGTCCTGAAAATAAAAATGAGTTTTACCTGACAGCCTTTTATCATGCACTTGAGGGGGAGGGGGGGGGGGAACAACAACAAACCAAACAACAACAAAAAAAACACAAAACCAACCCCCCCCCCCCCCCCCCCCCCCCCGAGCGTGGATCAAATTAAAAGCCACAAAGGAGTGTTTGTAATTATCCACAATGGAAGACAGCTCAGGAAAACACTTATGCAGGAGCAGGATGTGAATGGGACTTAAGCAAGGATGTAGAATGCAGTTATATCCTTGCCTTTATCTCTGGACAGAATCACAACTTCTAAAGAAGGCCTACTGCCAGTGATATTAACAGCTCTCCCTGAAGCCATGGCTTATGTCTCATCTCAGGTAATTTTCATTAAGGTAATTAACTTTACAATAAAGTGGCCTGGGGACCAGAGCTATCATATGGAGTCTCATCCCCTAGAACTCCCATCACTGTGCTGATTTCTGCTTTTATGCCTCAGTTTTTCACTCCCACAGCTGTGGAAGCACAGTAGCTGAAAGGCAGCACTACAAAACAGTTTGTTAGCCTTATCAGGGTTAACAAATAGCTTTTACTTTAAGGATGGAAAAGATTTTACCTTGGCTCTTCTCACAGGTCCACAAGCACACGTAGAAAGCGCAGCAAACTGCAGCCACAAGTGAAGAAACATGCTCACTTGGGAGCATTTGGGTTTTCCTTGACCCAGTTTTGTCACTTAAGTTATTTCTCCAGATTTGGACAGTTCAAGAGACAGTTCAGAGTGTTTGTCATGTGAGTGCTAATTTAATAAAACTATGCTGATCAAATACAAACACTCTGTTGCACTCTAATGGTTAATAGAAAGAGGGTCCTAGATCCAGAGTCACTTCTATGCTGGTTCATTAGTGATAAGAGGTGGGCCACATGCTCACTTCTGCAAGTTCAATAAAATGGGTACTCCTCTGTGATGGGTGGTCACACAGCAGTGCCTATGGCTCAAAAAAGGAGCCCACACTGGTTAGCTTTCAGCCCCAAGGACTGGGGACTTCCTGCAGTCACAAACACAAATCACTGGGCTGGATTTCAGGTTGAGTGACTTGAAGGCAGAAAGCCTACAGAGGCAGGTAGCTGTGATGCTTATCCAGAAAAAAAGCAAATAGTTTCTGGACCACAGAGCTTTCTGGAGCTGCACACACTGAACAAGGAGCCTACCTGCTGTTTCTCACCTCCTTCAGCTTTTAGTGAAACTAGCCTTCATTCAGGCATTTTGCAAACACCTGACTCAACAATACCAGGTGTGACACTTGACCCACAACACTTCTTTCAAACAACAGTAGGAATACCCTGCAGAAGACTTCAAAAATAGGCTAAACTGCACAGACCATTAAGGCAACAATCATTAAAAAGGCAAGTTTCCTTATCCTTATGATCCTGTTAAGGTCCCCTGAGATGCATTTAAGATTTTTTGGGGGCCATTACTTTCTTAGGGTCTTTCCCCTTACCCATTCTCTTGTACATTTGTCCGTCTTTTTTTTTCCCCAAGAAGCAAGTAGTGCAAGTTAACAGTGTGCAAAATCACCTGAATCTTTCAGAATCCCAATGCTTTTTATGTCAAGATCCCATCAAGTGCTGAAACACATTCAATCTTTTTTTCCCATAGAAGAGGACTGAGTAGGCATTGGAGAACCCATCCTTGCAGTACTCTCTCCCACAATGTGGTCTGCAGCATGAAGTATTGCACTCAGCCTCTTCTAGGTCCCTGAACAATAAAACCTCCTACACAACATCTCACCTGTCCAAGCATTTTGTGGTGCTGTTCAAACAGCACCAGCAGGAGGGAAAACAAACACTCAGAAGAACCCACACAAAAAGAGCAGAGCAAGGCCAGGTGACTAACACTAGAAATACTGATTAAGTATTAATGCCTACTACTTTAATATCGCTCATTAAAAAACTATTGCTGTGCTACCATGGTATCACCTATGACCTTTATAAAACAGCAATTTATTTCTTTCCTTTGTCAACAATTGCTCAGCCCTCAAAGTAATATATTAAGGATGCATTAGGGATTGGCATTAACACTCATTCAGATCTCCACTGTGTGTACTGCCAATACAAAGGGTGATTTTCAATTAGGTTTGTGTTTTGCTTGCTTTGTTTACCAACCTGCTCTCAAGCACCTTCTGATGCTGCTGCCTAAATAATAAAACCATTAAAGTGGAAGAAAACCAGATAAATGCAGGAACAAAAAAAGATTAAGGGGGATAAAGAAGGAAAGAAGCCTGTGGCACACAGTCTAGTGAGTGCAGCTATTTGGCCCCTGTTTCCTAGAGTAAAATTACAAGGACAGTTCCATCCTGGCAAACTCTCCATGTTGCAGCAATACAGTATGTACAAGATACATGTTCCTAGGTCCCAGCCCAGGGCACCTGAGTAAGAAATAGGAAGAACCAGATTGCTCTGCCTATGGTAGGCTAAAGGTGGTGGTGGGAAAGACAGCTGGATACTGTTGATTTTCAGGCTTGTATAGCAGCACTGCACCTGTAAAAAGCTACTCTCTTGACAAGATGTATTTTTTAATAGCCTCTCCTCTGAAAAGTGCCTGCTGATTCCAATGCAACTTCTTCCAGGGCAAAGCTTTACCCAAACCAAGTAAAGAAGATACATTGTGGCCTCTTGAAACTGAAATTCATCATTTGATCAATCAGATCTTTTCAATTATGAGCTACCCAAATTAAAAATTACATGCTGGTCTGTGTCAATTTTAACCAAAGCTGTAGCAAGACATTCTGGTGCCCCTAGCCAAAATGTCAGTTTAATGCTTATTCTACCCAACCTTTGCTATAGCCTGAAGTAGAATTGGAGCTGACAGCAGCTTCTGGCCAAAGCTGTTACTCTCATTACTATATTCCTACCTTTCTGACCCTAGAGAACTATCTTGGATAGGTGCAGAAGGCAAGGGCATATTTTTATTTTACCAACACCTTCCCAAGTGATCCTTGGTTGCAGTTATTTTCACTGCACTGAAACTGCTAGACCATAATGAATAGGTTGAGCAGCTTTAACAGGTGCAATTCACTTGACATACCCAAACTTCTCTGAACGCTTTGCTGGGCCAAGCGTTTCTATCACTTCCTTGAGTAAAAACAGAGCTGACAGCCTCAGCTGCAAAATAGCTTACATGTTACTTAACTGTAACAACAAGTTTCAGCAGAGATACTCAAAATACTAACATCCACTCAGTGAGACTGACTGCAGTCTACTCTGATGAAACAAGTAACCTCCCCTACTTCTTGTCAAAGTGATTCATTCAAGATGACAAAGCAACTGCAATTATTATTTTTCATTACTTATACTGAGTTTGTAAGCATATCCTAGGAAAGATCAGGGCCTTCTGATGCAATAACATACACAAAGTATAGGCAAAATTGAGTAACTTGTTTTGCCCTTACATTTGTGAACAGCAAAATGCGGTTGCAGTAGAAGAGCAGATTTTGAGGAGACTAATTACAAAGAGCATGAGGAATTACTA